TACTTGGTCTGAAGTCGGAAATAGGGTTATCATTGTATGCGTCGTGTCTACATCCTCTCAAAGACTTCAGACCGTCCTCCCTTGGTCTGGAGTCGGAAATAGGGTTATCATTGTAAGCGTCATGACTACATCCTCTCAAAGACTTCAGACCGTCCTCTACTTGGTCTGGAGTCGGAAATAGCGCTATCATTCTACGCGTCATGACTACATCCTCTCATAGACTTCAGACCGTCCTCTACTTGGTCTGGAGTCGAAAATAGCGCTATAATTCTACGCGTCATGACTACATACTCTCATAGACTTCAGACCGTCCTCTATTTGGTCTGGAGTCGGAAATAGGGTTATCATTGTATGCGTCATGTCTACATCCTCTCAAAGACTTCAGACCGTCCTCTACTTGGTCTGGAGTCGGAAATAGGGTTATCACTGTAAGCGTCATGACTACATCCTCTCAAAGACTTCAGACCGTCCTCTACTTGGTCTGGAGTCGGAAATAGCGCTATAATTCTACGCGTCATGACAACATCCTCTCATAGACTTCAGACCGTCCTCTATTTGGTCTGGAGTCGGAAATAGCGCTATCATTGTATGCGTCATGACTACATCCTCTCATAGACTTCAGACCGTCCTCTACTTGGCCTGGAGTCGGAAATAGGGTTATCATTGTATACGTCATGTCTACATCCTCTCATAGACTTCAGACCGTCCTCTACTTGGTCTGGAGTCGGAAATAACGCTATCATTCTACGCGTCATGTCTACATCCTCTGATAGACTTCAGACCGTCCTCTACTTGGTCTGGAGTCGGAAATAGCGCTATCATTTTACGCGTCATGTCTACATCCTCTCATAGACTTCAGACCGTCCTCTACTTGGTCTGGAGTCGGAAATAGGGTAATCAGTGTATGCGTCATGTCTACATCCCCTCATAGACTTCAGACCGTCCTCTACTTGGTCTGGAGTCGGAAATAGCGCTATCATTCTACGCGTCATGACTACATCCTCTCAAATACTTCAGACCGTCCTCTACTTGGTCTGGAGTCGGAAATAGGGTTATCATTGTATACGTCATGTCTACATCCTCTCATAGACTTCAGACCGTCCTCTACTTGGTCTGGAGTCGGAAATAGGGTAATCAGTGTATGCGTCATGTCTACATCCCCTCATAGACTTCAGACCGTCCTCTACTTGGTCTGGAGTCGGAAATAGCGCTATCATTCTACGCGTCATGACTACATCCTCCCAAATACTTCAGACCGTCCTCTACTTGGTCTGGAGTCGGAAATAGGGTTATCATTGTATACGTCATGTCTACATCCTCTCATAGACTTAGGACCTTCCTCTACTGAGTCTGGAGTCGGAAATAGGGTTATCAATATACGTGTTATCTCCAGAATGAATGAGTGAATTGTGTGTTACTCCGCAGTCAACAATCTTCCAGCTGTATCACAGCAGCCTCATAACGGTTAGTGACAACAAAAGCCATGCCCCCCGTCATCGGTTGCGAGGATACAATCAGCCAGGTCCTATATTCATCGGCTCTTACTTATAATGGCCATGAGGTGCATATTTTAATAGCAAACAATTATGGATTATTTGTAATTATTCAATGCGAACCATCTACTAACCAGGGGTCCTACATTGCATCGTGGCTAACCTCATAAGTCTCTTAGGTTGGGCTACTGGGTATCTATACTCGGAAACCCCACAGGGTTATAATGGCCAGGGGTAAGATATTTACACCTCATGAGTTGTATTGTTTAACAGCAAACAATCTACCAACCATGGAGTACATGTAAATTTTCAATGCAAAACATCTACTATCCATTGGTAATGGACTGTTTCCATATTAAATGCAAACAGTCAACCAACATATATTGTTCATGTTTGTTGACCATCTGTGGAGCGTTTGCGTTGTTGTGATTCCTCCAGCTGATCCAGTCGGGACAAAACCTGTTTCCATGCTTCCTGCTCGGAGGCTACACACAGAACATGTAATCACACATCTTCAGTCAACCCAGGGTACAACCTATTGTAAGATGACCCTCTTTTTTCAACCCCGGATACAACCTACTGTAAGATTACCCTCTTTTTCAACCCCGGATACAACCTACTGTACAGATGACCCTCTTTTTTCAACCCCGGATACAACCTACTGTAAATATGACCCTATTTTTTCAACCCCGGATACAACCTACTGTAAGATTACCCTTTTTTCAACCCTGGATACAACCCACTGTAAATATGACCCTATTTTTTCAACCCCGGATACAACCTACTGTAAATATGACCCTTTTTTCAACCCCGGATACAACCCACTGTAAGATGCTCCTCTTTTTTCCACCCCGGATACAACCCACTGTAGATATGACCCTCTTTTTTCATCCCAGGGTACAACCTACTGTAAGATTACCCTCTTTTTACAACCCCGGATACAACCTACTGTAAATATGACCCTCTTGTTCCACCCCGGATACAACCCACTGTAAATATGACCCTCTTTTTCATCCCAGGGTACAACCTACTGTACAGATTACCCTCTTTTTTCAACCCAGGGTACAACCTACTTTACGATGACCCTCTTTTTTCAACCCAGGATACAACCTACTGTAAATATGACCCTCTTTTTCCACCCCGGATACAACCCACTGTAAATATGACCCTCTTTTTTCAACCCCGGATACAACCTACTGTAAGATTATCCTCTTTTTTCAATCCAGGATACAACCCACTGTAAATATGACCCTCTTTTTTCAACCCCTGATAAAACCTACTGTAAATATGAACCTCTTTTTCAACCCCGGATAAAACCTGCTGTAATATTACCCTCTTTTTTCAACCAAGAATACAACCTATTGTACAGATGACCCTCTTTTTTCAACTCCGGGTACAACCCACTGTAAATATGACCCTCTTTTTTCAACCCCGGATACAACCTACTGTACGATGACCCTCTTTTTTCAACCCAGGATACAACCTACTTTACGATGCCCCTCTTTTTCCACCCCGGATACAACCCACTGTAAATATGACCCTCTATTTCCACCCCGGATACAACCTACTGTAAATATGACCCTCTTTTTCAACCCAGGATACAACCTACTGTAAGATTACCCTCTTTTTTCAACCCCGGATACAACCTACTGTGCAGATGACCCTCTTTTTTCAACTCCGGGTACAACCCACTGTAAATATGACCCTCTTTTTTCAACCCCGGATACAACCTACTGTACGATTACCCTCTTTTTTCAACCCAGGATACAACCTACTTTACGATGCCCCTCTTTTTCCACCCCGGATACAACCTACTGTAAATATGACCCTCTTTTTCCACCCCGGATACAACCCACTGTAAATATGACCCTCTTTTTTCATCCCAGGGTGCAACCTACTGTAAGATTACCCTCTTTTTTCAACCCCGAATACAACCTACTGTAAGATGACGCTCTTTTTTCAACCCCGGATACAACCTACTGTAAGATGACCCTCTTTTTTCAGCCCCGGATACAACCTACTGTAAATATGACCCTCTTTTTCCACCCCGGATACAACCCACTGTAAATATGACCCTCTTTTTTCATCCCAGGGTGCAACCTACTGTAAGATTATCCTCTTTTTTCAACCCCGGATACAACCTACTGTAAATATGACCCTCTTTTTTCGACCCAGGGTACAACCTACTTTACGATGACCCTCTTTTTTCAACCCAGGATACAACCTACTTGACGATGCCCCTCTTTTTCCACCCCGGATACAACCCACTGTAAATATGACCCTCTTTTTTTCATCCCAGGGTGCAACTTACTGTAAGATTACCCTCTTTTTCAACCCCGGATACAACCTACTGTAAGATGACCCTCTTTTTTTAACCCCGGATACAACCTACTGTAAGATGACCCTCTTTTTTCAACCCCGGATACAACCTACTGTAAATATGACCCTCTTTTTCCACCCCGGATACAACCCACTGTAAATATGACCCTCTTTTTCATCCCAGGGTGCAACCTACTGTAAGATTATCCTCTTTTTTCAACCCAGGATACAACCTACTTTACGATGCCCCTCTTTTTCCACCCCGGATACAACCCACTGTAAATATGACCCTCTTTTTTCATCCCAGGGTGCAACCTACTGTAAGATTACCCTCTTTTTTCAACCCCGGATACGACCTACTGTAAATATGACCCTCTTTTTTCATCCCAGGGTGCAACCTACTGTAAGATTACCCTCTTTTTCAACCCCGGATACAACCTACTGTACGATGACCCTCTTTTTTCAACCCCGGATACAACCTACTGTACGATGACCCTCTTTTTTCAACCCAGATTACAACCTACTGTAAATATGACCCTCTTTTTTCAACCCGGATAAAACCTACTGTAAGATGACCCTCTTTTTTCAACCCCGGGTGCAACCTACTGTACGATGACCCTCTTTTTTCAACCCCGGATACAACCTACTGTACGATGACCCTCTTTTTTCAACCCAGGATACAACCTACTGTATATATGGCCCTCTTTTTTTCAACCCCGAATAAAACCTACTGTACAATGACCCACTTTTTTCAACCCAGGATAAAACCCACTGTAAGATGACCCTTTTTTTTCAACCCCGGATAAAACCTACTGTACAATGACCCACTTTTTTCAACCGCGGATACAACCTACTGTAAATATGACCCTCTTTTTTCAACCCCGGAAACAACCTACTGTAAGATGACCCTCTTTTTTCAACCCAGGATACAACCTACTGTATATATGGCCCTCTTTTTTTCAACCCCGTATAAAACCTACTGTACAATGACCCACTTTTTTCAACCCAGGATAAAACCCACTGTACGACTACGTTCTTTCAACCCTGGATACAAAACTACTGTAAGACGACAACCTTTAATGAGCCCCAACATACTACCTACTGTAAGTCGGCATCCATTTATCATCCCCGAATACTATCTACTGTAAGACGACATTCTGTTATCAACACAAATATTCATTAACATACCGTGCTTGGTCGGATTCCCTGCCTCGGCTCTACCCAATCCGATTTTGGGTGTGGTCATATCCTCCTGGCTGTAGCGGATCACGGCCAATACAGGCATACCCAGAAGGAGCAAGGGACTGAGCCACGTTATAGGGAACCTCATGATAGACGTACTGCTAGCCTACCTGCCTTACTGGTGTCACTATATCTGCTTATTTATACACACGGTATAGAATTTGGTGGCGTCATTTTATTGTTGTGATTGGTGCAGAAAGAGCGTTTGCTTAAGAAATATATTAGATCAAAGATGAATTTAAATTGTTGCTATATATTGTTTCCCGGTGAAGTTTTCTTTCAACTTTCTAATAGATCTTTATCTCGTATATTCGTGCAGGGATTGGCAAGGTTGTCCGTTTTGAACGTAAGTATTGCACAGAGATCGATATCTTAGATTTTTTCAAGGGAACGTGTATTGACGTCAACCTCCATTGTTTCACCAATGCACGAGGCAGATCACAACTTGGCAGCAGACCTCGGCCCTACTTTTCCTTGTCAGCCATGACAACTAGACAATATTGTAAAGAATAAAGTATGAGAAAAGCTGGAAATGGTGTATCCGAGTTAAGGATTGGAGGGAGTGGAATGTCACCAAGTAATGAGTGAGTAGCACACACACACGCACGCACGCACGCACGCACGCGCGCGCGCGCGCGCACACACACACACACACACACACACACACACACAGAGTTTATGTTGTTCCATTACCTGGTGTAGCCTACCTTTAACATCTACACGAGTATATCCATGTGATAACCTCTAGGTGGGTACCGAGATGCATGGGGATATTAAGTCATTTTACTCGGATTTTAGACACGTGTCTAAAATACACAGTTTTATTCTATATATTTAACCCCTTTAAACAGTTGTCTGATTCATAAGATTCAACGTATCAGGTGGTGGTGCAGCCGTCAAAAGAAGGGTTTCAATCAGAGATAATTATTGTGATTTGAAACCTTTGATTGACCAATCAGAATCGAGTATTAGCCAAATTCATTGAAGAATGAATGTAAATCTTATCAATCAAACAAACAAAACATAATATAGACAGAATTGCGGTCAATGATTGGTTTAAAACATAATATAAAAAGAAAATATTTAAAATTCAACCGTAATTGAATCTGATGTCACGAGAAGTCACAGGAGATGATTTACAACTGATTGGCTTCATCACGCAGGGAAATACCACTTTTGATCCCTGGGTCTCGGGGTAATACCGTGTTTTAAGGAAGATCATGTGACCCTTTCTCAATTAATAATAATATAGATATAATTTGCAAATGTATTGAAAATCGGTATTTGAATAGTCTCACTTTATATATTTACTGCGTTGTTTTCATGTTGTGTCTTAACAACAGGAAGAAAGATGGGACGAATATGTTTATTAACGGATAAATGAAAAAATAAGTTACTAACGGTTCTACAAGAGGATAACTATCCGCATATAACACAAACCACGTACATTTAAACAGTTACAGGTAAATAGCACAGGTAATAAATACGCCATATGCACAGACATTCAAACAAATGATTTTCTTTAATATTCGTTTTCTAGTAGAGTCACAATTCCTCACAAAGAATTATCTTGATGCATCTCGCAGTAGTGATTAGACTGTTTAGTTCTCACACGGGAACTTGGATGTGATTCTGGTGTGACGTCAAAATGTGAGTTGTCAAGTCCGATTGATGCAGAAAGCCTGCTCCGCAAAACTGGCACATGACTGTCTGATCTTGCGCATGTGTATGGCTACGTGTGTTCTCCAGCACGTGCGAGCGGCGATGAGCAGTCAAGGTACTGGCCAGAGTGAATCCTTTACCGCAGATGTCACACTTGTGAGGTCGCTCGCCTAAACAAACAAATACAATGTCAAATGAAATATAGAGCGGGATTTATAAGTCGAAAATAACGAGTCCAACCCCATTTACAAACAAGATCAAATCAACAAAACGGAAGAAAAATGACATATTAGAATGAGAAACCTGAGACGAGGTAGCAAAACAGCGGAAATTGTGTCCAAACCTTCTGACAAGAAAAACACGAGTGCTTTCCCCATTTCTGTATCGTCCGTTTATATTGGGGGCAGCGCGTTACAGTTTGATTATAATTTTTAATTTCTATTCAATTAAAAGAATGCATTCTTATTCTGCTTTTCGCCGCCTCCGTGGTCTTGTGGTAGAGCGTCCGCCTGGAGAGCGGAAGGTCCGGGGTTCGATCCCCGGCCGCGTCATACCAAAAGACGTTAAAAGATGGTACTTGTTGTTACCCTGTCTGGCGCTCGACATTAAGGGGCTAAAACAAGGACTGGTCGGCTCGGATTCAGTATACTGTGTCTGAGTGGGGTATTCATGTTAAACTGCGGCATGGTATCTCAGTGAGCTAGCACTATAAATCGGCATCAGTCCGGACTAGAACAAGCAGCCACACACACACACACACACACACACATACATACACGTCGCTATATAAGTGCAATAATCTTGGACGCGACGTTTAACCCAATTTCACCACACCTCACCTATTCTGCTTTTCTATGTGCCCTTTTTGAAGTCTAACAATATAAACATGCTCAATTCATCTTGCACTGAATTCCGAGGCAGAATATGTCCCCAATATCCAATGCCTTGGTCTGAGAAGCGACTAATGATGATCACGTGGACACAATGGGTCACCGAGTTGGTTGTGTGTCCTGTGTCCCGACGGCGTAGAGAATTGCTCTCCCGTCAACCACTGGATTACCTGATCCCGACGCCATCATTTACAGACCGCCCTGCTACAGCCAACTACTGATGAATGCGACGTAAAGGAACTCACTCACTCGCTTACCATACGTTGTCATCATGATGATTTTTGTTTGTTTGTTGTTAACGCCGCACTCAGTAATATTCCAGCTACATAACGGCGGTCTGTAAATAATCGAGTCTGGACCTGACAATCCAGTGATTGCCATCATGAGCATCGATCCACGAAATAGGGATACGATGACACGCATCTACTAAATCAGCGAGCCTGACTAACCGATCCCGTTAGTCGCCTCTTACGACAAGCATAATCGCCTTTTACGGCAGGCATGATTGCTGAAGACCTATTCTGACCCGGATCTTCACGGGTGTTGTCGCTGTGAACGAGACGGTTGTATTACCTGTATGTGTGTAACAGTGTATTTTCATGTCGATCTTCTGATGGAATCCTTTCCCACAGTAGGGGCACAGGAAGGGCTTGTAGTTGGTGTGAGTGCGCATGTGCGTGTGGAGGTTGGAGGCTCTGTTGAAGGCCTTGTTGCACGTGGAGCACACGTACGGCTTGAACGTCGTGTGGGTCAAACGATGACGTGTCAGGTTTCCCGGCTGGCGGAACGCTCGCCCGCACTGCTCACACTTGAACGGTTTGTCGCCTGTGTGAATGCGCTGAAATAAAAAAGTCAATGTAAATTTGACAACACTAAAATTAAACTGTGATAAGTATATCGCATAACACTGACGTGGATATATTTGAAGTTCTTACCGTCATATTTAATGTATCACTCGTTTCACATTTGCCCTAAGCTTGTTTTATCTCTTCATTAAACTGATTATAACAAAGGATTAAACTCTCTGAAATGTTTTTCCTTCTTGGTTATTCTTTCTTTCAATCAACATTGCCAGCACGAGGGCTGAATAAAATGAGATACAGTCACACCCTATTAGTCCAGAGCACTTTGAAGATAGCAGAGGGTTCGTTTTCAGTCATTTGTTTTTCGAATAACTAAACACAAGCCAGCAGCGGATTCGATAGTCAAATACTGTACATCAAACAACAATAATAACTCAACTCATTTAAATATGTAAGTATATGAGAACAGGTATAATATATGTCTAGTTATTATGTACATATGAATAAATAAAGCTTGACCAACAGCTATTTCGTTATTCAGACTTGGCACACCACATGACCTTTCATTTGTTACTTTTGTTTACAACGCCTGAATAACAAACCTGCTGCTTGCTGGGTTTCATTTTTTCAAAACTACTGAATAACTAAAAATATTGTTAGACAACCTGCCCTCTTATACTTGGATACTGAAATGAGTAATTAGATTGACTTAATGTGGTTGTTTAATATACACACTTTGAATAATCCGTTGGTTGTTTTTAGTTATTCGAAAAGTTAGTAACTAACAACGAACCCGCTGCTAACTTCAAGCTACTGTAGTCCAGACACATCATTCCGGCGAGTCTTGGGTACAAATAATTACCACATTGCATCATTGTAAATACAGGACAATGTATGCTTCTGTATAATAACAACAACGTACCTTGTGAGTCACGAGTGTGTTGCTCCTTGAGAAGGACTTGCCGCACGTGTCACATTTGTACTTCTTGACCGGTGGGGGTTTGTCCGTATGGGGTCGCCGATGGTGCATCCCCTCCAACTGTAAGAACGCCGGGTGTAGTCCACCCACTCCATGAGCCATCCCAGCCAGGGGGAAATGTCGATGAGACTTGGGGTGCAGCCTACCATAAGGGGAGTGTTGCTCTGAAGCAAGATGACGCTTCATCATTGACGCGTCGGCGGGCATATGGGCACCCATTACTTCCGTATCCGGTCTCCTGAGTTTCGGAATATCATGCTCATGTTGACTTTTACTGTTTTCATTTCTTTGTGTAGAGTCTGTTTCGGATTTGCAGTCATCAGACTCAGAGTTGTTTGCATTTCTGGATGATTTATGAAGGAGCTTTGAAAGGTTCATGAGGTATGTCGTAAACGGTATACTCGTGTCAACAGTTGTCCATGGACGAGTCGGATCACTAGGCAGACCCTTCACACAGACAGTGGGCAAGGGGGGAAGTGAGATGGCAAATGCTGGTGACGGGTACATCTGAAGAGGTCGAGTCGACAGAGTTTCTGCCTTCTGAAATGGTCTGAACATTGGATGGGGGAATGGCTGGCCATAAGCGACTTCGGGAGATCGTTTATTCTGGGTGAAGGGCGTGTTGGATCTTAGGATGGGCTCGAATGCTGACCTCTCAGACAGATTGAGAGGTGATGACACCTTGTCTTCGCGAAGATGTTCAGGGGAGGGAGAAGTCTCAGAACAGGCCATACTGTCGGCGAGGCCGCTGTCACCACAGGAGTCGACGGAAGACGTCTCTGAATCGCCTTCTGTTCCTAAAAGAAAGAGAAGGAGATTTGTTTCTAAAGTGTCAATTATAATTGTGTTAGATTGTGACGTTACTCCTGCATGAAACCGTCCCGCACTGATCACAGTGGCGTTAAACCCCTCGGTTTGTGACGAAGCCGAGAGATTGCAAATCATGTCATGATTGTGCAGCGCCTACACCGCCATCGAGTGGGATCGGAAAACATGTTCGTTTAAACAGACTTCGTATACACCTAGACATATGAAGTACTGCTTACTATATATTCAATTTAAAATAGTCAGTTTTGGACATTGTATCCTTTTTAAATCTTATAACAAAACACATTTATCTTTATTTAAAATGTGACATACCCATATTGGAATACAGAAACCGAAACTGATGATCAAATGACTTCTGCTCTACGTCAGTAGTTATTTGACAGCCTTTCAGTTGCTTCCTGCCCTTTGTATCATGGGATATGACTCAGCTCTAGCGACCACATGGGTCACATTCTAAATTAGACCAATGTCATATAAAGATATTTCCAAAAGATACATGCAAGATATATGAACATAAAGACGGGATGGGGCTCAACATTTGTCCTGGTGTGTAGCTTTCCGGGGCAAAAATGTTGTCCTTTTTGAGTCAGAGCGTCGGAACACACTTTTGTCGGTTCAAGCAGGACGCCGCACAAGTGGGATAACGGTTAAGACAGACAACTATAATGACACAGGATCTCACCATTCCGATGTCGGTCCATCAGAACACCGGACTATCTTAATTAGAGTCCCCTGTACGTCGAAAATCGTGAATTTTACCTTCAATGAAGTATAAAGAGGAATTGTTTATTTCCAAATACAAATAAGTAAAAGGGACATATTCTTACCTTCTTGCTCCCGGTACAAGACCTCCAGTAGTTTCTTTCTCTTGCTGCTCATTAGGAATGATTTGGGCATAGCGGATTAGCTGTGATGTGTTGTGTACAGTTAAACCGCTCACCTAAATCTGCAACCCCTAATCCAAAGTATCTACCTTATTCTAACTACAGAACGGCGGGTGTTGAGGCTCGGCCAATGAGAGGCGAGGCGGTAACCAATCAAATACTGCGTTGCTCCTTTTGACGGCGATGGACACCCGTGAACCGTAGGCCATCAGGAAACCGGGTGATTTGATTGGTTGATGAGCATGGATCTACTAATGTCCTCCGTATATTTTAGCACGTCTTTGTTTGAATAAAGTGATGCTTGATGGAAAAGATGACATTAATATTTGTTTTCAGATGGGTTTTGATCTTGTTCACTCCAAGAGTGGAATAAAGTTTTGTTCTATTCTGTTCTGCCAAGTGACACAGGACTTTTTAAATAAAGAGATACCCACAGAAGGCGTCTGGGGAAAAAATCACATTAGCAAAGGGACGCCATGTATTGCTATTGTATAAATAACTGATGGACCGATAGTTCAAATTAATAAAAATGGAGCCACTCGTCAGAGTTACGGGAATTAGAATATATATTTATTTATATATTTACAATATTTATATGTGTGTGTGTGTGTGTGTGTGTGTGTGTGTGTGTGTGTGTGTGTGTGTGTATATATATATATATATATATATATATATATATATATATATATATACATAAAATTAGTTTGGTGCAATAAATATATCTTTTTCATTTTCTTTGTAAAACTAAAACTGTTATTTCATTTTACAATAAACTGAGTCGGCGTTTTACTTATTAATACTTTGTGGATTACCTACACTCTTCTGTGTTTTCATAATCATGAAAATATGTTTTCACAGTTGATCAAGTCTCAATACAATCAGAACATTATGGACCTTCACTGAGAAGCTAAGGATATGTAGCTCGATGGCCTTTTGCTGCGGGAACATTACGTTTTTCTATTTCTAGGTATTTGCATCGACGCATCAGCTTACCGCATAACCTGGGCCCAATGTTGGATTACCTGCTCAATTGGTAATGCTTACTTTAACTGACATTTTACATAAGATAACACCCATTCCGTCCTTTATTGAAATCAGGGCCCCAACTTCGTGTCACAAGTTGATGCAGATTAATTTAAAACTGACAAATCTTATTAGCTGAGACACTATTGGTAAGAAATACATCAGCATATTGTGTCAGACGGTAGCTGAACGGGCACAAACCCTGAGGCGACACACCCTATGTTCTTACAGTTGGATTATCAATGCGACTACTGTCGCTACTTGTAAGTATATCAGGGCATCGAAGCAAATGGACTTTCCGTAAGACCATATGTTCTGTGTAAGTAACAAAACTCGACAGATTCAACAATAGTGTGGATTAATTCCTTTTAGGAAACGGGGGGATTAAACACATTGATTGACAAAGGGCTAGCGTTGGATTATGATGATCTTAATACCAACAATATTCAGTGTATGTATACAGATCATACAACTGACAAATGACAAATGCTGCTGATCGCTCAGTGAGGTTCTCCTATACGCACAGGACCCGTGAAGATGCGGGGTAGAATAGGTCTTCAGCAACCCATGCTTGCCGTAAAAGGCGACTATGCTTGTCGTAAGAGGCGACTAAAGGGATCGGGTGGTCAGGCTCGATGACTTGGTTGATGCATGTCATAGATCCCAATTTCGTGGATCGATGCTCATGATGGCAATCACTGGATTGTCTGGTCCAGACTCGATTATTTACAGACCGCCGTCATAGAGCTGGAATATTGCTGAGTGCTGCGTTAAACAACCAACCAACCAACCAATCCTACACGCACAGAGAGATGCTTTTATAGTCTCAACTATAGTCTCAGCTTGATGAGCGAGGAAAGCCGATGATGCAGGTCCTACACGCTTACCACTTGACTAAAACCTACGAGTAAGGGTATGGTGCCGACAAATCTGGAAACATAATCAGGGAAAACAGGGATTCGAACCCGCCACCACAGGTTTTGTCATGCCTCAGGGACGCAACTCTGCACAACGAAGTGCGGCGCCTTAGACGACTAGGCTGCTTCGAGATAGGCATACGTATAGGCTTACAATATGTGTTTTGACTATGTCCGAACCATTGTATACCTCCGTCCGATGTGAAATGTGATCGTTATGATAACTTCTGTCGGCTGCAATAAATTTATAACACTTGCGGGGATAAGTCATTATAGGATGTTTTTAAATGAGGTTGCATGCGTCGTTGTAAGTTCTCAGAAGCTATGACAATCATTTAGCGCGTATCGAGATCGGTTGACAGTTCACACTGACTTCGATCGCTGGTCGCTGCGGGTGTTCGAAAATTCACCATTCACTAAACCTTGTGGTATCTAATGTCAGAGTCCAAATGCCAATGACAGGTTGCTTAATAATATATAGCTGAATATAACGTAACCGTGAGCATATAATGTTAGAAATATGCATGTTATTTCATATTTTAGCTAAATTGACGCTCCAAAAAAGTATGCTCCTGTTTGATGTTGGCTAAAACCAAAACAAACAAGAAATGGTTATTCGAAGGTGATGTATTTCAACGGGTATCGCAGTTGCGTTTGGGCGTTACGTTTGCGGTATTTCGGCGACTGTTTTCAGCCAAGTACCGTTCTGATAACGTTTGTTATATTTTGGTCAAATCCAATTTTCAAGTGTAACTTTTATAATATTGTGAATGTTAACATGATTCCGACAAGGACGACAACACCTCACAGATCTATCAGTAGGCAGGAGTCAGTAGTCAGTCAGTTTACAATAGACGGGCCTATAACACTGCGACTTACCGCTATAATGGTGAACTATGTGTATCATTCCTTAAGTATTACCACGTTAGTGTAACCAATCACAGATGATCCTAAATGATCAAAGATTAGCGCCATACGCCTTCAAGGTGAGATTGTTATAAGCGATAAATCCCAGCCTTATAATCCCGACATATCCAGTTGTTTCCCCGAATGTTCACGAGATTAGCGTCTTCTGGACAAGGCTGTTTAACCCATGGTGGGGTAACCTTACATGAGGCAGGGGCTTGCGACTACAGATTACCCTCTCAGTCTAGTCGAGTGTCGCGGTGTTTTTCAGTTATATCTGGGGAAACCAAAATTTCAAAAGCATTCTCACAGTAATCAATAAATGGGGTTATCTAAAAAACAAATCATTCAAAGGGGTCACTTAATATCTTTTTAAAGACCGTATATTTCTCTGAAATGTCTCTGAAATAAACTGCGTACGTAATTGAAATTCCTTTTGTAAATAAAATCTTCCTAACAGGAAAGATGTAGAAATATACAGCAATAGAATCTAAAACCTCTGTTAAAAAACGATATTGGTGATGAATTTTCGTATTTTCATGTGTCAGTATTTTGAAACAAAAAGAAAGCATTATCGTCCAGCTTCATATTACAAAATCCAAGAGTGCTTAAAATGTGTAACCTGTTCGCATAAAATAATAATAAAATCTAAAAAATGTTCGTTCTAATTCTGAGTAAATTTAAATCACACCCAACCCTATGTATACCCCAAGCGCCCGACTGCTCACATCTGCGTCCTCCTGCAAAACACGTTTCATAATATGTGTACATAACGTACATTCACATCTATGTATGAATAAATACTATGTGTACATTTATGTCACCTATGTATCTCTTATACCGCTGATAGCGGTCTGGGTGTATTGAAGGCCTATTCTGTTAGCAAAACAGCATCAGGCACAGTCTGGTGTAGTGTAGTTTTGTGCCAGCCAGCATAATGCAGCCTGGCATACTTTGTTGGGGGTAACATGGCTGACAGTATATTAAAGCTCTCCTACTTGAGGTATAGGGTTCTACAATAATCAAGTAAAAAGGCTGGTTTTCTGAGAGGGGCATTTCAAAAATTCGGTGTCGGATGAAACTATTTCGTTCCTTACGTTTTGAGACTTTACTCACATACCCTAAAATTTATGTGTTTAAAAGTTGACATCCTCAAAAAGATTTTCAGAAAAAAAAATATCATAATAAAATGCAGAAACGGTATCAAAATATAATACAACAGAAGTCGAGAAGCAACAACGGCAAACCAGTTGTTTGATAGGCATTACTTAGAAGTTGACGGATGACAAAGTAGACACAATTTATGGGTAACAACTTCTTTAATACTGTAAAAAGCGCCGTTTCAGTTATACCGTTGTCAAGCTGTAAAACCCCAGACTTGAGTCTTGCTTGACAACGGTATAAGGATCTATACCGAAACGTCGCCTTTACAGTATTAAAGAAGTTGTTATCCTTAAATTGTGTCTACTTTGTCAACGGCAAACCAAGCATGGAAGGTGTTGGTTTTTTTATATTTCGAACGATCTTGCTTCTGTGTCATCTTGTATCACCGGGGGTAGTGGAGCTCCTTATTGCCAGAGTAAATGTGTGACCATTCGACATCGACTAGCTGTACCAACTGTAAAGCTATAAAGTTGATTCCGTCGGAAGGAAAATTTCGTTCTGATGTGAAATATACTTCACACTTTTAATTCCGTTTCTGTTTAAAGGAATTATAAAGGGGTGGAAGTGTTTCTACGTTGATTAAGCTATACTGAATAATTCAAACGTAAAAGACAGCTACACATTTCTGCCGCAGAAGCTATCCCTTTTTCAATTCATTATTCTTTTGCATAGTCTTGACCTGTCAGAGAGTGTATTTACTTACTCGTACCCGAATATTGCAGTTAAGTAATAGACATATGTTGCAGGCAGTCAAGCGAGAGGAAATCCGATTGACAGAAACCGCTTCAGGCCAACCGGTTGGGTTTAGACGATCACCACACAAGATCGCTGATTATCTCCCTTCGTTCTAAACAGACGCCAGGTGCGTTAATCCGCTTATTAACTGACTATACATATGTTTTATTTATCGCTTGTCATTGTTTAAAACTGTTTGTGTTATTTGCCTCAGTCATAAGTATTGTACGTCGCTATATCCATGTGCATTGCTTTTAGTAGATTCGTGACCAAATAATTTTGACTCCGGTTTTCAAGAATTGTGTTC